ACAGCTCTTTGGTTGATAATAGCTATGTAGTCAGTGATGTTGCTAACTGGTTGTTTTTTCTCTGCTCAGCAATTCTAAATTAGGAATAGTTAGATATGTTAAAACCTTAGCCAGTTAACTCACGTTTTACATAAGATACTGTTCAAGTTGAAAATACTAACATTTAATTGACATCCTTCAAACACTAACATTTCTAATTTCAGTGAAGAAGAGAACGAATTTATGAGTGATGTGGAAGCCCAATTTATACTTTGATTGTTTGTAGTTATGCACAAAGCTACACAATGGGCTATCTGTGCTTTGCCCACCACTGGTATCGAAACCCGGTTTCTAGCCTTGTAAGTCTACAGACACACAGCTGTGCCACTGGGGGCTTATACTTTGAAAAGAAGATTTTACATCCAATCCTAAGAAAATAATTATCATTGTCTAATAATGTTCTAAGCTGTAGTTTCAATGTTTTAATTTAGATATTAGTTAGAGGGCTCATCACGTTAAGATCGAGAATCTTAGTCTGATATCTAGACATGGATACATTAGTTATAAATTTGAATAACCAGTAAATTCAGTGATTTACGCTTAAGTGAAGTATTTATTGAGAAGTTATGTAGTAGTGATAGAGAATGTAGCGTGTGAAAGATTGAGTAGCCGTTGGTTGAGAGAAGATTGATCAAGTAAAGTTTATCAGTTAACTTTGTCATGTTTGTTATCATAAAATTTCTGTTAAACATTGTTAGTGTATTAGGCTTATAGTAGTTTAAAAGTTTATGTTGAAGTGAACTATAAAAGTAGTAAATTAACTATTGTTAATTGGACTGAACTTGGCAACATTTTTACTGGATAATCCAAATGAACCTGTCAAGGGATAGAATATGTTACAATGATAACATCAGGATTGGTATTATTTTTGTTAAAATAAAACTTTGACTAAATTTCAACATGATAGCCCAATCATGAAGCAAGGTTGAAGTGTGACTAGAGATGATGAAAAAAGTAAGAAAGTGTCAAGAAGAAAGAGACAGGAAATTAAATGAACAAAAAGAAAGAAACAGAAAAATAAAAGATCAAGAAGAAAAAGACTGAAAATTTGAAGAAAGAGCTAGAAAAATGAAAAATAACCAAGAAGAAATTTATGGAAAATTAAAAGAACAAGAAAAAAGAGACAGAAAATTAGAAGAACAAGACAGAAAGTTAAAAACAAACAAGATATTTATAGAAAATTAAAAGCAGATCAAGAGGTGAGAGACAGGAATTTAAGAGAAGAGTTAGAAGAAAGAGATGTAATGTTTAAAGATGAATTATAAACAAAAATAAGTCTGACTGAAGACAAAATTGTTAAAACTAGTTGATAGGGCCGCCAGTTGATTCACTTGACCACCTACCTAGGAAGAGTACCCTAACAACAAGACAACTAATTGTGATAATGGACAAGACGTCATCCTATCTACACACCATGAGCCCCAGAAGACATAACTACCATAAAGACTTGGTAAATGGACAGATTAGAATAGTGTTGCGTCAGCGAGTCACATGACCACGTGACGCAACGTTTCTAGAACTATCATGTACTTTGG